TTAGCTTGATCAAACCCTTAACGATCCATTCTGTTCCTGAAATGATCATATGTTTTGAGACGGTTTAAGAGTTAAAAATAAATGATTTGAGACTTATTTATTTTTAAGATAAAAGGAGTAGCTAATTGATATCAAAATGATCATTTTTATCATGCAATAAATTGCAATGAATATCATGTGATAAATAATTTTATCACTAATTTTTTTTTTCTTTTATTCTGTCTAATGGAAGAGTATTTGTTTATACTCATTAGCATATTTTTACAAGATTATTGATAAAAAAATATATTGAAAAGTGTTTCTTGTGAAACAGTACAAATAAATCATTTTATTACCAGAATTATTACCAGAATATGTTAGCTAGAATTTTTTATATAAATATTTTTTTCGAATTATTCTTTTCTTTTAAAATAAATAAAAAACAAGTTTTTAAAGATATAAAGTATTTATAATTATAAATAGATATGAATTTAAAAAAAGAATTTTATTACTCATAAAAAGATAGAAAAATGATGATTTGTAAAAGAAACAATATTTAATATTAATATTATAAACAAAAATTCGTAAATGTATTTGATATTGATTGTAATAATCGTTATAGATAAATTTTTAATTTTAAATCATTTTAAATGTCATATATTTTTACATATAAATATGGATTATAAATAATGGAAAATATTTAATAAAATATTAATCTTAATTTTTCATTAACTCAGAAAATAAAATTGTATAAAAATATAAATTGCAATTTTATTATTAAAATCTTATTTTTAAAATCAATTATAATTTTATTTTTGATCTAAAATTTTTTTTTAGCTAAATATTAATTAATCTATTTATTTATTGGAACGTTAAGGGTTAAACACGTTCACAATTTTTCGCTTTGGCCTAAATTATACTGTAAATAATTCTGTTTTATCACGAATAATTGATATCAAAATTATGAATATCAATTATGAAAACATCACCAAGAATTCTCTTAAAAAATAAATTTTTTCTCTTAAAAAATAAAGTTTTGCTTTCATGCACGTTTAATCGAAAAAAAATGCATGTATCTATCTTTTGCAATATTGTAAAATCTTATTAATTGAGTTCATTTATGAAAAGGGAAGGTTCGGTAATTAAACTTTTACAACACGAATGATCTTTACTCTGTAATTTAAAATTAGCAAACAAATAAATATTTTTTTTATTTTATCGTAGGCACTCGAAATTCACATTTTCACTTGCTTTATAGCTACGTAATTTGAAAATCATAATTGGAGATTATTTTGTTGTAGTTTTCTGTATTTGTATTTACATATATGTATCGATTTGTTATGGGAATTAAAATGAATACTACATACTATATTCTAATGAATAATATTTTGTATATAATATTGCAATATCTAATTATTCTAAAATAATTTATATAAAAATTTTAAATTGTAAATATAAACAAGTTTTTCAATAACAAAAGTATAATTTTTTTTTCAAAATACTTAAATTTTATAATATATGTTAAAAAATTATAGATTAATTATAATCTTGATAAATATTTTTAATATTTTTCATAATCACTTTTTTAAATAATCACTTTTTTTAAAAAGTTTAAATAAATTAGATTATATAAAAAAATTAAAAAAAATTTTTTTTTAATATCTTAAAAATTCAGAATTCCTATGGCAATTTGATATTTTTAAAAAAAGAGTCAATGTATCGTGTCGCTTTTAACATACTTCTCTCTTTCTTTCATGAAAATGAAAATATTCTGTAAGAAAAGTCATTCCATAGTAATCTATCTAATTTTAAAACAAATCATAGAAATATGCTAAAGCAACGCTTAATGGCACAAGCTCAATAATTTATTACTGTAAGAAAAGGCTTAGTTTCTCGTCTTTTCAGATATTTCGCCAGAGAAATCAAACATGTTTCTTTCGTCTATTAAAATAAGAAGAATAATAAGAATAATTTCGATACTGCCTCATAATATTTGACCCGACTGGATTAATTGTATAACGGCTAATGAAAGTGATCATTAAAAAATATCTAAAATTCTTTCACATCCTTTCTGTGAATATAGGTATGCGATTATCTGAAAATCAATTTTTATGCAGAATATTTTTTTAATTTTAAGTTTATTCTAAATATTGTTCTAATGATCGATAAAAATAACAATGTGAAGAATAGGAAAGAAATCATGATGAATTGTATTTAATTAGAAAATCATAAAAATGTAAAATTTGTATAAGCGATTTAACTACAACTCCTTTATTACAACTTATAAAAATATATATATATATATATATATATATATATATATATGTGTAATACACATATGTGTGTATATATATATACACATATGTGTGTGTGTGTGTGTATACGTTAGTATTTGTTATTTTAAAGAATTGATCAGCAAATGCATTTACGCTTGATTTAGTGTTTTTATCGAAAAGAGAAAAACTTATTTATTTCTTTTTTTAATAAATATTTCATTGCTTTAAAACATAGTGATCAACCTTAATGCAATTTGCAAAGATCGATCAGTGAGGTATCAGCATTGATCAATCGATTCCTTATAAAGTCTTCAATGGCTTATTAAAAAAAAAAATTTGGTACGAAGAACTGTAATACAGTTTTAATATTTTAATATTTTAATACA